TCGACAGGGATAGTATTTTAACTGAATATGTCGACGACGGAAAAATTCTTGCTATAAATAACCCAGAACCCCTGGCGACTCCTTACTAAAGGAAAGGCAAAAGGTCTGCAAGGAAATTGACCGGTCAATCACACCACAAGCAAAATCTGCTGGGATACCAGGCAGGGATCATCCCGTCAGATCCATCGACTGATTTTAGCTGCTTCTGATACTTAGCCGTAGCAACAAACAACAACAACAACAAATGAACAGAACGTGTACATTCTCAAATAAAATTAAATTTTCTATTATAACAAATAAAAAAGCTTTTCATTCCATATCCATAGTTATTAGAAATAAAAAGAATTTTCTCCGACACATTTTTTCAGCTCCCGAAAAAATTCGAAAAATTTATTTTCCCTCCAATTGGTTGTGATATCTACTTCGCCTTTGTGTTTATTGGGTAGTCACTGTCACAGTATGTATACATATTTATATTGTATGTTTGTGCATCAATATGCAGATAAGTGTTAACACACGTTGCTTTGGAAATAAATTTAACTTGCGACTTTATTTGTTGGTTGAAAAGAGACAAAATTGTCATTCTTCTTGAGAGCGTTAAATTCGAGAGTTTGCGATTACTATGAGTATGTACAGGTTTTGGAACATGCTACAAGGAAAAGATCGCCAGTATATTATATTTATTTATACTCGTATTGTATATACCACACAATGATAAGTAGTTGCGTCGAGCCAGGGGCTTAGAGGGTAAATGTGAATGTAGTAAACCAGTTTATAACGATCAAAGCACACTAAGTAGTGTAATGGCAAATGACGCAAGATACTGGAATCAGTTGAATGCAGAGTTGTTGGTTTAGTTATCTGGGTTTTTTGTGTGTAAGATTATTGGTTGGACTTCCCTAATCCAATTTTCATTGAATAGGAAAAATAATCAATACGAAGTACGAATTTTTAGAAGAAAATTTCTCTTTCATCCGGTTATTAGGTAACTATTTCAGCTTTTATTTGTCTTGTATATATATACTCCTATATATATATATGCATCACCTTCAAATGTATAGATAAGCACTTATGTACACAGTCTTTTTTTTTTGTTGTGTGATATTTTTGAAGTTATTGGGCAAATTTTCATAACATCTCAACAACTGTTTTAATAATATATATGTTTTATTAGCATTTTTTGCCAATATGTAATGAGAAAAAACCTAAAAACTTAGGTTACGATAAAAACAGTATGTAACAACAACACTAATCTTTGTACATAGCTATGTTAAATACTTTCAGATGGTTTCATATTAAGTATTGCTTCACTTGAATACGATTACTAAATACATTGAAACACATATGTATGTACGTACACTCATAAAGCAAACATAAAATGCAGTCTCGGCTGAAGTGAAGGTATTTCAGCCGGTTGGATTCAACTGAGTAGGTTGGCCATTGTAATAATAATACAAATAAGTTGATGGGTTGTGTTGTTGTTTGCTCTGTCTTGACGAGTTACCGTATATATGTTTGTATCATATATTTGACTCCGCTAAGTTTTGCATGGTTGCTCAGCAGGTTATTGGATGAAGCATTTGGTTTGGGTTTTTGTGATTTAACTTATCGTTTAGTGAATGGTGTTTTATTTGGTGTCTTCATAGCAGCGGCTTGAACTTGAGCTCTATACATAATTGGTTTGTTGCATAATGTGTTACAGCATCAAACAGACGTTTTCTTTTTTCATTTTCATTATTTTTGAACGTATTTTTGCCTCCAAATATAAATGAAATTGTTTAGTATTTTCATGAACGGGTGTGTCCTACTAAAACTTACTATCACTGACATAAAAATAACAAAATAAAAATATATGTTTTAGATAAATCAGTTATATACAATATATACTAATTGCATCCTACAAACTTTAAAAATTTATTACATTTTCCCCTGTGGGACAAGCCATATCTAGATGTTCTTTTTTCAATTTATAGGAGAAAAATATAAAAAAAAAAATCCTCAAATTTTTTTTTACAAATTTAATTTTTTAAATACACTTAAAATTTCAAAATTTTAAACAATACATCCGTCATTTTTTTATTGCGCTTTGGCGCCAAAGAAAAACACAAAGCAAACAGTCACAGCCCCTATACCACATTTACTTACTTTATGTATGGATTTATATAATTTTATATCAAAACATATATTTAAAAATTAAAACACAATATATATATAAATAAATTTAAGTAATTTCATTTAAAATGTTCTTCGGGTGAATTAGTTTATGGTCAAACACCTAGACTTCCGGATAAACTTATTGTTTCCAATAATAATTGTAACCATAAAATTGGAAATACAAATGAAATTCTTTCTAAATTAAGAAAACATTTCTCCCTTGTTCGATCGAATATGATACATCATAACAAAGGGAATAGTTTCATTCCTAAAAATGTGAGTTCCTGTGAATATTTTTTGTGATTTTTTTTATACATAGATATAATCCTCAATCACCTTATGAATGATAACCAAAGTTATGTATCTCCGAACAAATGAATACTTTTGAAATATGCATACACAATAATATATATATGTATGTAAGTATTTTTTTATTCACCAATAACTACCTTGTCCCCATCAAGGAAATGCCCCCCAAAAATATGATACTTGTGCCAGCCATCCTCGAAAACACTTGTGAAACGCGTTATCGCCATAGCTCTTGTTTCGATTTTTCTTTTATCTCCTCAAACGTAACGATTTCCTTCCTTCGGTGTCTTCAGTTTTGAGAAGAGGAAAAAGTCTGCGGGGGCCAAGTCCAGTGAATACGTTGGTTGAGGCATGATAATTCATTAGGCGTTACCCAAGGCTCCACACGGGTTGGTTACCGCATCTTGCCCAAGGATTGCTCACGTTTTCAGCGTGCGCAAGAGTAGGAATTGAGTATAGCCTCGCAACTGTAACTGCATACCCAGAAGCTTGATTACACCCCCTCACGCCTAAGCATCGGTGTGTGATCTCTTGCGTTATCATGATGCTAAATCTATGATTGTGTTTTCCACAATTCTAACCGTACGACCTTGTGGCAAAAATTCATGGTGCACCATGCCATTCCAGTCGAAAAAAAGTTTAATGGTTATTGACGTGCTTAGGCGACCAGGACGAGTACTGTCATTGGCAACTTCTCGGCCTTCCTTAACCGGTTATACCACAATTGAACTTGTATTCTGTTCATAGTAGACTCGCCAAACGCCACAGTCAACATTTCAAATGTCCTTGCGTATTTAATTTCATTTTTTACACAAAACTTAATACAGTTTCTTTCCATTTTTACGAATAGTAAAAGATCAAAGAGCGCACCAAAAGACGACTAACTTTTTACCGATCAGTAAAAAAACAAACTGACATTCCAAAATGGCTGATATTGCCAATATACATACATATATAACAGACAGTGTCCAAACATAACAGAAAAATGTGATTTTCGTAATAATACGTAAATCACGAAATTTGAAAATAACTAATATTTTCTGAGCACACCTCGTGCATACCGAAAGTTTAAAATTTTCAAAATATTTTTTTATCTCTTTATAAATTTGATACTTGCTTGAATTTTGTAGAAATTAATTAAATGTACTTATTTCTAGCCATTTTCAATATTGCCTAAATATCGTGTTATTATTAAAATTTAAATCAAAACTGTATATGCCGTCGGGTACGGTAAGCTTTGTATGAAGCTGCGAGAGAGTTTGCAATAGTCGTCACATTTAACTGAGATTTCTTTCCCACGCTTGTTGCGTGTTTCTTAATGCCGTTTCTTTTAAGATGAATGCAGCCCGAACTCCGAACAGCCAACAAGGGTTCGCTTCCTCATTTATGCCTTCCATTGGTTAAAAATTTGAAGTCGGTTACAACATGTCCCATAAGCATAATAATTGTTTTTGCCCACTCCCAGGCGCAGGCACAAAACACTTGGACTTCTGCAGATGATTCCATCTAAAGATATGGAATATTAAAGCAAAATATTGATAGATAAATTAAAACTCTCAACTGATGTTTTTGTAAGCAACCAATATCAACAACAACCCATTTCGTTGTTGATATTGTTGTTATAACCTCAAAATTATTCCCCAAAGTACTTTTTGGGGAATGTTGCCTTGGCCGGATAAAAATCCGGGTCGTTCCGGTATAAAGACCCGACTGTCGCGGGAACTATTGGATTTTAGTCATCTCTTACGACAGGCATGCCTTACCGCGGGTAAATTCTTGAGCCCTTAACCCGCAGGGGTAACCAGGAAATGGGTCAAGAGCTACCATTGCTAATAGAGAACTGTTACTGCCAAATAAACCGCCGAATACTTATTAAAAAGCTAAACATTTTAAAAATGTGTTATAAAAAAAAAAGTAATTAATTTTAAAGGTATCGAGTTAATGAACATGCAGCTGCTTTATAAGTTCAGAAGAAAAGGTGGCACCATCTCCTATTTTATCATAATCTTTTACGACGTAACTTTAACTTAACGGATTTTCCGACCATGCTAAAGTAAGTAGGAAAATATTGTTGTAGAGATAAAATGTGAGGAAAAGTAAAAGTAAAAGAAACAGTTACTTGAATGTAAGCTGCAACAATTTTTTCTGTTAAGCGAAGAGCATCACTGTGAGAAGACTCTCGTAAGTCTTGTGAGTGAAAAGCCAACTTACATGATAATTCAAAAAATTCTCGATTGGATTTGGTCATATTGGGTAAAAATTTTTTTGGATATCTCTATTTTAGATGTAGGTATTTTGAAGAAAAAAAACAGAAAAATTGACCCCTCCAACTATAATAAATCACATAATTATAATTTAATTACTTACAACTTACTCTTAAAAAGAGCTACTTTATATATTCAAATATTCACAAAAATGATTGGAAACTTTTAAATATGTATGATTAATTATGATGTTTTTTAGCCAAACATTTGGAAACTATGATGTCTTTTAAGTTGCTAGAATTTTATAAATTAATTTATTATTAATTATTTCAGAGCCAACCGAATGATCAACAGCAGCTCCCTCGCTCAAATCGGTCCTTCAACAACAATGATGATAGAATTGTTTCAGAAATGACAGATTTTGATAAACCAGTGGAACAAAAGGTGAGGCTTGACCTCAAAAAAGATTCGGACCAATGCCGCCCCCATTCTGCTTTGACTAGGACGATTTCGCAGCCTCAGCCCCATGAGGCAAATGTAGAAACCTTTGTGACAAATTTATTGGAAAATTTTGGAAATATGAATTTACATCGTAAACTAGAAAGAACACAATCTGAACCTTTACCACAACAAGTCAATACATCCAGGTAAATAAATAAAAAATTAGAACCATATAAAAGTTGTAATATGTAATATTATTAGAATAGAATACCCGTGTAATTGATACCGCATTCAATAACGAATTTAACGCACATTTACTTCAATGGATGTGGTTTATTTCTAAAACAATTTTAATGAATATACAATGAAATAAAATGATATAAAAGAAACCTCAAATGCTTACCGCTGTGTGCCTTTCCCGGTAGTCTATTAACGAATAAACTGATTTAAAAACGAACCACTCAAATACGGGGCGAATTCGCCTCAGTAATAAACGAACAGAATAATAAGCGGAAAAACACAGCGGCAAGCTTACAATATGGCCAGACTGGTTCAAATAGTTTTCATAACTCAAATATAAGGTGGCGTCCTGAGACATTACTTAAATACAAGGTGGCCTTCTGGGACAACCCGAATTAACAGTAGGAAACACCAAGTGAAGTTAAGTCCCTCTCAGCTGGTACAGCATCGACATGGAGTTCTTTCGTCCATTCAGACGACATAACTTAGTATTGTAGCCACTAACCCATAATTCGCTGAACTATGTATGTCAATGTCATCTGTATATCTCACACACAGCTCCTCGTTCGTCTGTGGACTCAAAATCTTAACAGAACCTTTATCCCGAAGACTCCAAAATTCGCCTCCATAGCTTTTTCAACGTCCACGCTTCTTCGCCATTAAGTAAGGCGGGAATGTTGAGCGATTAGTAGAGTTTGGTCTTTGTCTTTGCACTTTACTTTGGAATTGCATTCTCAATTCAAATTATCACCAGTTGAATATTGGTGTTTATGTTGGTATGCCTACAACCTTAGACATAACAGGAAAGCACTGACATGTATATTTGATGACATAAGGTATTTCGTCTTTTCTTCATTCTTATTGTTCTTTATGATTAAGAATATCTATAGAATTTTAACTCTTTTATCTCTCGTTGCATGTTGATATCTTAATTCTTTAAGACTCTTATTGCAATACAACGACCCAATCAAATCCCACTATCGAATTTTATTTTTATTTTTTTGAACTCGCAATGGCATTTAGTTTAAGTATTACTAAGAAAATTTAAAAGTGTTTAGTAAACAATTTTCATAAAAAAGTGTCAATTTAATTATGGCTTGAAGAGGTTATTTCAAAATGAAATTACTCGCTTTGAAAAAGGTCAAACCTTATCTATCGAAGTTTTTCGTTGATGAGCGATGAGAAAACAAGTTATGATACCAAAAAATTGGTATTTTTCCACAAAGATTTCTTTTTGAGAAGTTTAAATGTTTATATTTTTTCTACCCTGTGGCAAGAACTCATGATGCACCACGCCCCTGCAGTCGAAAAAAACTGTCTGTTGTTAAATTGCTCGGGCGTCCGGCACGCTCTCCGTCGTTCACATCCTCTCGGCCTTTTGAGAATATTTTGTACCACCGATAATTTCGTTTTTCACACAAAATTTGATACAGGTTTTTTGATCCATTTTTTGAATAGGTAAAAATCGAGGACCATCCAAAACACGTGCAAGCAAAGCAGCTGTCAACAATTAAGTGATCATTCAAAATGGCCGAGCTTGTCGGCATAAGTGACAGACATGAGTACCAACATAACGCCACAAAAAATCGAAATTCGATTATACGTAATCAGCGAAAATTCAAAATTCGCGATACTTTTTGAACACACCTCGTATGTATGAAAAAATGAGATTTGCATATATGCGTGTAGAGTAGAGTATTATTAAGACAGATTTTTACCTAAAACTTTGTCTTCTGTATACATAAAAACATGTTTATGTTTTCGTTTTTACCTTATAACTTGTGAAGGGATTTGCAGAATTCAAAATTGAAAAGGAGACGCGGTACCTATAATTTTCATTTGTATACATAAACGGCTCTACCGATTTACCTGAAATTTTGCCTATGCGTTCAAGAGAATTGAAGAACAGTAAAATTTATAATTCAATGGAACTTCCACCTTTTGAAAAATTCTTTATGTCAGTCTAGGACTAAATGCAATGCTGTAAAGTGCAGACTGAAATGTCATGGAAAAATATTTCCTCCCATACCTGATGACGTATGGACTAAACTATGATTGTATTGTAGAATTTTAGCGCCAATACTTGTGGTGGTCATTTTAATAAGTATGTTGATTTATGTATATGTATTAAGGGCTAAAACACAAGCACATCGCAAGAAATATGGAAATTTTTTCCTTTAAAAAATTTATTTGAAGAAAGTGAGGTTAACCCAGAAAATAAGCATATAAATTAAAAAACTAGTATAGTGAATTGCAAAAAATGGCTGATTAATTTTCAAAAGTTTAAACATTTGTAAAAAATTCCGATTTTTCTTTCAATCCTCACCTTTCCCTTAAAAATTGAAAATACAACGTTGAGCTAAGTCTCTTTCTTCTTCTTACTTCACTTGATTATTATTTCATCATGTGTACTGCTAGTCATTTCTATTTTATTCGAAAATCCTTTTTTAATTATTATTGACAACTTCTAAAATATTAAAACAAATAAAAGATTGGGGAAAAAAACACTAACTATCTGAATACACAGATTTTTTAAAATTTGTGAAAAATCTACTTCTTTTAATTCAAAAATTCTCACTCATATCGACCTCAAATGTTGCTTTAGGTATTTTTTTTTTAGGAAAAAATCACCTTCGAAGTCGCCGATTCCAGAGCACATCTGGATCTGGCCCTAGTTTGGAGAATATTGCTCGATTATTTAACAAATTCCTCAATCTTCAACATCTAATATTTACGGTTACATTAAGTTGTGTGTCAACTCACAAACCTGATATAAATCCAATATTAATGGTAATTTTTCTAAAGACCTGAGTTGAACTTGCTTAACCAATAAGACATGAAGATACTCGCATTTCTGTCATATTTTGTGCCGTTTTATGGTCCGAGTTCTTATTCGAGGATTCTCTTCTCATTTCGTACAACTTTATATATATATTTTTATGTCTAGTTCACAAACGTATTTAAGTAACAAAAATAAAATAAATTCGAATTCAAATATATAATGTATTATATTATATATAAAGTGGAAATCACAATTCAGACAACACTGGCTGAATGTCTCACTACGTAGAAGACATTGATATGGCTCCTTACACTAGCATTTAACTTTCACGAGGGCGTCCGTGTTCCTAGAAATTCCCATTAAATGCAGTTTTAGGTGATTTACTTGTTCTATTATGTACATGAAATTGATATAAAAGGAGAAAAAAAATTGTTCTTTACTCGAATCGTTTTATTTCCTCTTCCTCAAGACATAATTTATATTTTTATAGTAGTGTATATTTGACGAGAGAAATTAAGTGCTCTTTATCTAAAATTTTTCAATATAGTTAAATTACAGCCTTGGCCACACTAATTACAGAATTTTTTGTTTTAACAAGTGAAGTGATGAAGTTTTATTAGTAAAACAGTGAAAATACAATGAATTCGTGTTAATAACATTAATGTTTATTAGGTCCACCCTTTGATTTAATAACGGTAGCAATTCTCTTAGGCATGCTGCATACAAGCTCTGCACATTCGCCCGCACTTATAGCGTACCGCTTGTTAATTAAGGCAGTTTTAGATGTTATTCTGTGTACCGTAATCTTGCGTTTTAAAATAGTCCACATGTGCTCAATGGAATTATGATCTGGAGACTGTGCATGCCAATCTAACAAAATATTGTTGAAATCTCTAAACCAACGCATCGTAGTCGCTGATTTGTGACAAGGAGCATTGTCTTGCTGAAATAAGAAGAACAGCTTCTAGTTCATTTATGTACTTTTGACTGTCCATGCGACCCTCGCAAGCGAATATTTCGCCGACACCATCAGCAGCCATGCAGCCCCAAATCATAATGCTGCCTCCTCCATGCTTAACAGTGGGTACCGCGCAATCTGGGTGATATTCTTCCTCAACTCGACGCCTCACGAACGTCACACCAGGTTTTCCAAATATCTGTCGAAAAGAAAAAATATTGTTTTCATAAGATTTGTATTATGTCTTCAAAATTGCTCTAGGGTAAGGAGCCATGGCTGTGCATACTTTAAGACGATCTTAACTAAGCTTACCTTGAAGTTTGATTCATCAGACCAGAGAACATTCGACCAATCTTCTTCCGTGAAATTTTGGTATCGGCGAGCTCATTCCAAACGATTTTTCCCATTCTTTTCTGAGAGCCACGGCTTCTTTCGTGCTTTACATCCTTTTAAACCTGCTTCCAGAAGTCTTGTTCTAGCTGTTCGAGCACTAGCTGGTTTACTAAATTCATCCGAAAGGGCAGCTGCGATCCTTGAGAGACACGCGTATAAGTATTCGGTCTTCTCGTTTACTGGTTAGACGCTTTCTTACTCTTTTCGATTTATTATTGTGGGATTTCGGCTCCACAAATCGCCTGATAGCACATTGGATCGCGCACCGCGAACATCCCACCAAATTAGCAATCCCAACCTGAGACATACCTTCTTCATTTAGAACTTTATTTTTAACTCCATCATCGTAACTAATTTCACTTTTTTAGTTATTTCGGTAAATATGAACTGTTTTTATAAGATTGGCAACTTTTCACTAAATGTAATTTACACTTTCACTTTCAAATTTTAAATGCGAAAATATTTTATGAATTTCTTAAAAATGACAATTTTAGGTTTGCTTACCCAGAGTTGATGACTTTTATTATTACACAATTTATTCGTTTAATCAACAGTTAAACACCCAAGTAAGACATTTACACAAAGAAATGCTAGCTTTGATAGCCACATTTGAGAGTACTTGTATTTTAGTGGGGTGTCTAGTACTTTTGGCCAAGGCTGTATGATAAAAATATTCATAAGGTTGAATACCAGCTTGTAGAATGAATGAATTTGGAATATCTTACTTTCAAATTCAACCAATTCAAAATATACGCTGCCCTTCGTTCGGTTTACATTGTCAAAAAGTTAGGTTATTTTTTCAAATATTAAGAAACTTTAAATTTAATATAATCGAGAGCAAATTTAGAGGGGGGCCGTTGATCTTGTGGATATTTCTTAGAATGGCTTACACCTAATTTTCTTTTCTTAATGAATTTTTAAGGCGCAAGTAGGCAAATATAACTAAATCTTGCAGAATTCACTTCATTAATTTCGCCCTTGTACAGTTTAATTCACTAAATCTTATAAATAACGATTACAGACCGGTGGACTTCACATTTTGCCAGATTGTTTCTATGGTTTCGGGCATCGGTCCACTGACTTATTCGAAAAATCATACTTATTGTTAGATTTTCTTGAAATCCGACACATAGGTGGCTTTTTGTTTAGATTAAAAGGAAGATTACTCTTTTTACATTGAACGGGGTTTTCTTTAAAAAAAGATTTCAATTGCGCTTTTGACCACCACGTAAGTAATTTTACCAACTCATATTTCATTGCAAACAGAAAAAAATGCATATGGGAATTTCGACAGACATGTCAAAAAATTATAATAGACTTGGCATTCATAGTATGCTGTTTTAACATATAGAAAATCTATCAAATTTAGCTAATAAAATTTTTTTGCATTTATTCATAACAATTCGCAAAATATGCCACTGGAAGCGGTAAAGAGAAAGGTTAAATGACAATAAAATGAAAAAACTATAAATTTAAAATTGAGTTACCGTCCATCGAAACCAATTTCTTGTAAACCAAAAAGCTCAGCAATAAAATTTTCCAGTGAAGAATTTTGTTTTAAAGATTTCCCCAAAATTTGTATCCGCTTAGCTCGGGTGGCGGATGCATTGCAACCCTCTGAGGTTATAAGCGATTAACATAGGTGTAATAAACAAGTAGTATTTATTTTTCTTATAAATTTTTAATCAAAATTAGAGAAACTGTATATATAGTGAAATATACATGGAATGAAATCCCTTATTAATCTTATGCATATTTGATTACATATAACTAAAGAAAAAAACATAAAAAATGTAATCTGATGGAACAAAATGTCGCATTTGATTTGTGATTAAAATTAAATAAAAAAGAAACTATTTAATAATATGGAAGAAAATAAAATTTTTGTTTACATAAATTAATGTGTAAAACTGTAAAATTAGTCGTATTTAATCATTTATTTATATTCGTTCAAGTTTTGCTGAAATCAGTGTTTGCTTTGTTCTATTTAAGAGCGACTTCTGTTTCTGTCGCGTGCGAATGTGTTTGTTTTCTGTAATTATCTCGAAACCGGACTATTGAGCAAAATCAATTTTAACATCAATTATAGTGTCAATAAAGAGCTACACATTTTGTTTTGGAATGCGCTTTTTCACTTTCAATGCGTACGAATTTCTATGCTATGAATATTGGCTTTGATTGACTGTCTTCCTTATGATATTTTCATTAATAGATTTTATGCCATATAAATGATTCCTGTGATATATTTATATATTTGACCTTAACAGAAAGAACAGCGTTAAACAGAAAGAAGTAGTCAGAAATTTTTAGTGGCAAGGCTTTAACCTACTCCCTCTTTTCCTTCCTGTATCTGTGGTGTTGGGGTTTGTATCTGAATTTTAAAAATTTATTATCATACTTTTTTCGAAGTCAAGATCATTAATTATTATGTTAAGAAAGAAGACGTTTGTATTTTTAATATATACTCGTATAAAGCGTTCGAACGGAGCGAAAATTCCATATTTTCAAATAGACTGGAACCAAGTTCCCTTCTCCGAAAGTAATTTTTATCCATTTCTGTTAAAAAAAAGAATGCTCTAAGCACTAATCGTGCTGAGATTGCATACAAACACCAGTTCAAGTTTCAAAACTTCTCTTATCGGAAATTTTCGAAAAGAAGATATAATTCACTATGAAAGCCCAACCGATCCGAATCACAATCTATCGTTTCGATTATATTATTCCGGCGACCGAGTGGTTAGCAGTGCGTACTGCTATTCGGAAGGCCACGATTCGAGTCCTGGTCTACAAATTCAAAATTATATACCTTCTGGCCGCAGGGAATTTGAAGCACTGCGAGTACATTTCTGACAGGAATTAAAAGATCCTAAAAAGAATCAGCCTCTCGGAGGTAGGTTGTAAGTCTCCATTTGTTAGGAAAAAAATCAAGACGCATCCAACAAGTTGAAGGATTAGCTCAGCCGAAAATCGCTTCAGCAGTTACAAAGCGCCAATTATAAAGAGAGTTGGTAAATAACCACTTTTCACTTAGACCGAAAAATTAGTTTTTTGATCAGATGCTCTCTTAATTGAGATTTTTTTTAATGGTAAACGATTTTTTAATACACTAGAATACAGAGTTTCTGCAACAGAAATGCCCTGTGTAAACTCAGTCAAACAGGTAACGAGAACTCAAACAAAAATAAAAATTATGCATTTTGGCAGAGTCAAAAAAACTTTTCACAAATTAATTAAATTGACTTTGCAGTCACCAAAACATGGATAGGAATTTCTTATTCTTCTGACATGCATTAAAGCACGAAAGCAAAAAAAAAAAAACCTTAAACCACCCTCAAATACTGATACACTGAACAGTAAATTATATCATAATGTTCCAAGATTCATTATATTTTGCATAACAGCTATTTCTGAACTGAAAAATAGTTTAACGGTTTCTCTTGCAGAGCTTTTCAGCACAATATTAAAACTAGGAAATCGCAGGTAATAATTATAGAGATGATCAGACGTAGACACCTTTTCATAAAGTTTGAAAATGCAAAAACTTTTTGAAAAGGTGTTGCTATCAAGAATTTCTCCTCTTCTGCATAAATAATTTAAAAATTTTGAAATAATGCATACACACCAACTTAGTTTTCGCGAAATACATGGCACAATTAAACATTTGCATCGCTTAACGAATGAAAAAAGGAACGCTTACTTATTTAAAAAGGCGTCCTTCTGTCAGGCTCAAAAATGTGTGTGCATATCCCGCATGCTAACGACGAAATCCTTTATCATTAACTTCACTTGGATAGACGATTACCTTTTATACGACACATTTCCGCCAGAAAAATACAGCTAAAACTTAAATTTACAAATATACAACCCTTTGGCTAGTGCCATGACCTTCGCCACATGTAAAACCCGTCTGAAGAGGAGAGGCCTACGAGCCGTCTAAAAATCTACACTGAACTAGCAGCCCATTCCGAGCTGATTAATGTGATGACTTACAATAACCGTTTTATGCGAAATATTAAACCGCACTGTCAACGATGAAAATAATAAAAATCTTGAATAGCTAATACAGATATTCTCTTGTCCTTGCGCGGTGCGCGGATTGCATAGATTGTAAAAATGCTATACTGAAATATTCAAGAGATATTAGAGCAGCCATGTTTTTGCAAGGTCAAGAGAATACTCCTAATGTACTTATATGTGCTTACAAATAAAAACTTAATCGCTTCGAATACTACAATATAAATCAATATTTTCAATAAAAAAAAAAAATGTTTTATAAATAATATTTTTCGTTTGAAATAATAATTTATCCCCTTAATGTAATGTCATTTTGCAAATATATTAATTATAAACTTCTTCTAGGTATAAAACTGAACTTTGTCGCCCATTTGAAGAAGCCGGTGAATGCAAGTATGGAGAAAAATGCCAGTTTGCACATGGATATCATGAGTTACGAAACCTACAAAGACACCCAAAGTACAAAACTGAATATTGTCGCACATTCCACAGCGTTGGTTTTTGTCCTTATGGCCCTCGATGTCATTTTGTACATAACGCGGATGAGGCCAGAGCTTTACAACAAATCCAGCAGCAGCAGCAGCAACAACAGCAACAACAACAAACAAAATTGCAAAATCATTCCAGTTTTCATAACTGCATCACAAATTATCCATTGCAGCCTAAAACAGAAAAAAACGCAGCTAATATTAATAAATCGCTTCCATTAAGTCCTCCTTTGAGTATGTCGACGGGCTCTGATCGGGAATCACCAACTGGCTCCATATCATTAAGTCCTACTAGCTCAATGACTAATTTTACATTTGCTGATCAAGTTAGCCCGGCCAATTCGGTTTTCCAGAACAACTCATTTCCTTACTTAAATACACCCCCAGCAAGCCCAAATGCTCCCATATCCCCAGTGAATACGCCACCACCTAACGTTATATTGAGTTCAATTCAATCCCAGACATCGTTGTACATAAAACCTGTTTCCATACCGGGCAAACAGCTATTACATAAAAGTTCAAGTTCTCCAATTGCTATAATAAGGAATGTCAATAAAATTCCAACGAAAGTTAATTCGGTTTCGTCCCTTAATAGCGGGGAAGAGGCACGTCTGCCAGTTTTCAACAGATTGAGCTCAACTATTGAAAAGTTTCCTAATAACAAAGCTTTATAATTTGACGAAATCTCAGTTTGCATATAATATTAAAATTCTAGTTTTTTTGTTATTTTACATTTTTAATTATATATACAACCTAAATTATTAAAAAAAAATATACTTTACGATAATTTATATATTTTATATAAAACGTCTTTTACCCAGAAAATGGGGACTTAGTTCATAGGGAAGGGAAAACGAAGGATATGCAAAATATTCTTTTTGCATTTAATAAATTACTTATGTATGTATATATAATATTTATTTTATGTATATAATTTTATATTTGTATACATTAATATTTTATTTGCCTTTAAAGCACTCACATAAATTTTTTAAATTATAATTTAAACACAATGGATAATGTAATTAAATAATTAGGTGCAGTTATGAAAATTAAAATTGAAATGAATGAAGTCTTCAATGTAAAAAAAAAAGAAATATACATTTTGTAGTATTAAACCTGAAAATATATTTATCCGGATCTATGTTAACATAACTACCTGTATAATATAAATTATTACATATTTTTATATTTTTACGCAATGATACAAATAATGTATAATTAAAAAAGAAAAATATTTATTCCAATGCGTTACAAAACTCGAAGATGGTTAACACTGATGCAAATTCTCAAAGTGCCTTACAGTTAATTAAATATATACATATGTAGATATTTTAGTATTTATACACATTTTATTTAATTGATTAAGAGATGATTCGTGAATTAGTCGTCTTCCCTTTTACTTACGTTAAAAAATGCTTCCATTTATTTTTACATGTGCTTATACAAATTTTGAATAAAAACATTTACTTTTCTTATAAAAGCGTTCCTTATTGTTTTATTGACACTTTTATTGAGAGTAATACTGGGAAAATTAAGATCTGGATATTTGAATACATTAAATTCCTACTTATCAAAACCTAGCTTCGAACAATTGCAGAATACAGACCGTTAAGGTAGAACAAAAAAAAATGGGCAAACTTTTATTTTCGTAGATTTGGGGAGGGAAGGTGATATTTTCGAAAATTGTTAAACGCCGTTATCTCAAAAAGTTGTACATAAAATTTTATAAATTTGGTATAGTTGTAGAGGTAAATGAATTTTATTTTTTTCTTATGTCCACAATCAATACCTTCTGAATATAAATTTTGAAAAAATCTGGTAAAAAAAAAATTACAATTTAATTTTACAAACTACCAGAAATAAAAGGAGCATAAAAATACCTTTAATTTGATATGTAACATGCAACATAAATTCATAAATTAGTACAAAAATATTTTTTTTTTTTCAATAAGACCATAAACTAACATTTTGGCGGCTTTTCATCATAAAAATAACTCGAACAAACACCATCTTCAGCTTGCACATTATTCTTGAGTGAAACACTTTTGCAAATTATGCAAATCTACGAATACGAGTATAATTAGTGCTCGTTGATAGCACAATTGAAACGAAATTTTTCGCGCTACTGAAAAGTAATTACAAAGTGTGATACACCAAATTAAAGGTGTTATCATGGCCTTTTGTATTAATATTGCTTTATGATATATTTATTACATTTTTTGTTTTGAGAACAACTAATTTTTCGGAAATAAAATATTATTTTTTTGTTACTGAATTTTTTTCAAAATTTTCTTCTAAAAGTATTAAGATACATACAACAGAAAATCGGAATTTCGGTCGCCTTTCTAATGATACCAAAATTCAACATAATTTGGTGTTAAACTTTTTGAGATATACAGGCCTATTCTTTTTTTCAACATCCGAAATTGAATTTGGTATTCTGGCGAATTGGTTACAATGTTTGAAGAAACTTTGGCAGCACTTCATTTTTCGTCTTTGTCAAATTACGTTTGCTAGTTGGTACAGTAAAAAGAAAATCGCAATCGAAATATTTAAATGTAATTTTAGAAAATATGCATTAACGACAAAAAAGCTGAATGAAAACGCTATCCTCCAAATTAAAAGCATCATTTGTTTCTCGCAAACTTCTTAGCAAACGGCTTTTTCAACTTTTTTCTTCATCTTTAATGAATTCCAGGCCTAAAATATGCCTACCCATTTTGGTTTTTATTTTTTCTCAAACTAACAATACAATATCAAACAGAAGATTTTTTGTTACCTTCTATTTCGGAATACGAAATAGTAACAAAATATACTGAGTGATAAATTTTAATATCAAAGCAAATTTTGTTACCTCGACAGAATAGGCCTGATAGGGTTTTATAATTTTCGAAATTTCCCCCTCTGCCCTGAGATCAGAGCGGATCACGACGATTAATTCATTTTGTTCTACCTTAACGGTGTGCATTCTGCACTTTTGCCTGAGACCACGCATGACACTAACCACCTTCGTGCATGCCCCCTAAAATCAACTCATCTAACCGCCGTTTCCTAGACCACCCGTTATATTAGACTAGCTTCGCCCTTCCCTAGTTGAGGTAAGCGAACAGCTAACAACAAAAAAAGGAAAGAAAAAAAATAGATAGAAGAAAAACAACACTCATCGTGATCTTTGAAATGCAAACATCTCTAGCAGTAGTAAGCAACATTTAGCCATTCCTGAAAGATCTTTCTTATGCCGGTTTTTCCTTATTGAAATCATTCTTGAAAGCTTTTAATTTTTCTAATCAAATTTATAACCAGAGTACAATTTAAAACTTATGAAACTATTTAAAATATTATATGTTGTATGTTGAGGAGAAAAGGGCTAACAAAAATGAAATTTGTAGTGCACAGCGATAGATGGTGGACGGTGCGCTCAAAACGTCAGTTGCAACTGTGCACACTTTGACGATTTATCATGTTCCAAAATGCATCGATAAATTTTTTGATGCGCAAACAAAAGCAAACTGCGCATCGGAGAGCAAGTTTTTTGCGCTAATTCTTTTTTTTTACTTTAATTTCTTTCGAAAAGCATTCCAAAGTGTTAGGCTGCAACTACCCAACTCACTCTCCAGCCGTCCATAAGTGTCGACGTCGAGGCGAGATAAACACACGAGTTATCGACGCCGCTGAGAGCGGAGAAATGTTGCCAGCTGCCTGTGTGTTTGCACACTTTTGAACAAATTCATAATTTTCGTCAACGAATTCCATAATTTATTTGCTTTAACATAAACACAAGGCAAATATACATGATCTATATAGTAACAAATAATTAGTTACGCATTTAGTTTTCATTTCTTTTGAACAAAACTACGCATTATCTTCGATTATTTAATGTTACTTTAAGAAAGGCTATACTGGCAACCTTGTATAGCAACGAAAAATGAGCCGAGCCGGTTTTACGGCTGCAACTACCCAACGCGCGTACCAGCCGTCCATAGTAACCTATCTTATGAGAGCGCCATGTATACACAAAGTTATCACCGCTTTCTCATAGCGCTGCTGACGTTTGTGTCGCAGAAACCAACGAAGTTTTGATTTTTTCCGTAAAACCGGCTCGGCTCATTTTTCGTTGCTATACAAGGTTGTCAGTATAGTCTTTCTTAAAGTAACATTAAATAATCGAAGATAATGCGTAATTTTTTTAACTACTTAAATACTTAACTAATTATTTGTTACCGTATAGATCATGTATATTTGTCTTGCGTTTATATTCAAGAATATAAATTATGAAATTCGTTGACGAAAATTATGAATTTGTTCAAAAGTGTGCAAACACAATGGCAGCTGGCAACATTTCTCCGCTCTCAGTGGCGTCGATAACTCATGTGTTTATCTCGCCTCGACGTCGCCAGTTACCAGTCGGTGAGTGAAATGGGTAGTTGCAGCATTACTTATAAAGAAGTTGTTGCCACTTACCGCGAATATTCTATTATTTAAGAAAACTTATGTTGCGTGCTGTTTATCAAATTAAGGGTATATTCATGCTTTTTTTATTTCTGGTAGTTTAGCTTAGGGTTAATAAAACAGAAAAAATAGATTTTTTTTTATTGGTGTAGTGTTACTTCATTGCTTGAAAAGAGTTTTCAAAATTGGAAGAATTATTTGGCAAGCTTATTAGCTATATCGCCATCGAAAATTATAATTTGTTAGTTTTTATAGATTTAGTTGTATGTCTTTCAAAAAGTTAGTGATGCCAAGTAAACTTTGTTACTTTTTTTTTTTAACACCCGAAATTGAATTTGGTATTCTGGCAATGACAGATGAAAGAGAGAAGCCGATAACTAGTACATTCTAGAACGATAACACGAGAACGATATGGAACAACTAGATTATTCCACATTTTCGTCTACGAGAAGCCGACTGTTATATAAGGGCGACACTCAGCTGCCAAGTTAAGCTACTTACAAAGTGAACTCGTTGGTGACAACTTTAGGGTAGAGTCGTAAAGTAGACGCGTTGGAGATTACATTTCAGTAGCGGAAATAGTGTAGTAATTTTAGCTAGTAAACTGCATTGAAATTGAATTGTGAATTACTAAATAAATAAAGGACATTAGATAAATTCTTTATAACGAAAGAAACTGCAAATTATGTTGGCGATTTTTTATTTAATAATCCAGAGATCGTGCCCGAAGGATTCAGAAAATCATCGAGGTTGATTCAGCAAAATCGAAACAATAGGTGTCAGAAGTGGGATTGTTAAATAAATCCCAAAGGATAATATTTGCAAAATGGTAAAGATTCAGGATTGGACGATACCTCCTCTCGAGAGGGAGTTGGCAAAGCGAGGATTGTCGACAACTGGAAATAAGGCAGAGCTGCAATCGAGACTGCGATAAGCAATGGCAGTTGAAGGCATCGACTTGAACCAGTACGAGTCCCATCGCCAGGATGAAGATGTATCCTTGAAGGACTTTGACAAGGAAGAGAAAACAGTTGGAATCACCATCAAGTAACATTCAAGAAAAGGCTCCTGGCTCATCTAAGGGTATTGACATGAACATGCTATTGACTGCGATTTCACAAAAGTTGGATGCACAGGTAGCCAGCATCTCACGAAAGATGGATGCAAAAATGGTTGAACAGAGGGAGCAGATATCATCCTTGGAAGGAACAATAGCGCAAATACAGCAAAATCTGGTGAGGAAAAATACGGAACTTAAGGAAAGACAGGATCTAATTGAGACCAAAGTCAACGCATTGGAAAGTCGTTTCCGGGAATTACAGCTAAATCGTCCAACCGCTTCAGTGAACGCCCCGAAGGTAAAAACACCATCTCTTGACGGGAAAATCCCATTTCAAGTCTTTAAGCTCCAATTTGAGAAGGCAGCTGAAACAAACGACTGGAGCATAGAGGAAAAATCCGCTGCACTATTCGTTGCGTTGGAAGGACCTGCAGCCGAACTGTTGCAAACCATATCCGTAAACGAGAGAAATGATTATGACGGATTGATGCGAGCC